AGCTCTGGTCGCTGTTGCCCTCTGCAGGTGGGCGCCGCTTAGCCGTCAGCAGCCACGTCTGCGGTCTTTGCTGTCATCGTTCCCTTATATTTTCCCAATGCCTGCATCGGCACTCCCTGCCACAGCATTCCTTCCGTAGGGACATGTTCCCAGGTCACCGCTAGTGACATCGCCAGCAAGTGCACTGCCACCTCGGGCCAGGGAATATCTGTGCCCTAGCCACCAAAGAGCTGCAATAAAAACTCTGGATACCAAAGGCTCAAATGAACCTCCTTGGTTGGCAGTCCAACCAGGACGCGACGAGGAGAGGACGCGAGGAAGGAACTCAATGTTTGGACCCCTCCTGCACTCAGCCCATGTGTGTCTCCCCGTGGCTGGTCCTGATTTAGGTTCTTTTGCTGTAATAAGGTTACAGCAGTGAGTACAGCACTTTGCTGAGTTCTACGAGCCGCTCTAGTGAATCATCGCCCTCGAATGCGGTTATGGGGACTCTGAATGTGCGGCCAGCTGGTCTGCGGTGAAGACGGGCCTGGAAGCACCCAGACTTGTGGTGTCTCGTGGTTACAGCCCAACGCATGATCCGCTGAACTCCTTGCACTTGGCGTCAGAAGCGGGACTTGCCAGACCAACCCTGACTCATCGAGATGTGGTTCAAGAGGAGCAAAGATAAAGGGTGCTAGATGAGGAATCTTTGATTCCCGGTGGCCACGGGGGCATTCACGGCATGAAAAGGCAGCTGCGCTGCAAACAATTTTTGGAGGTAAAATTCACCAATGGAGTTTAGAAATGATGGCTCCAAATACTAAGGAGTTGGCTCACCGGAGCATAAGGAAATAAAAAGCAACAAGAAAAAAGGAAAGTATGAAGTGCTTTGGGCATTGGCATCTGTATAGTCAAAGTGCAAGTGAACGGGTGCCGGGGCGGATCCTGACGCGGGGCCAAGCCCCGTCAGTGCGGACTACAGTCTCCAGCCCGGGCCTGAGCAGAGGCCTGTGCCGGGGGAGGGGTGCTGACGCTGGGCCGGAGGGTCCTGGTGTCCAGGGAGGGCCGCTGGCCTCAGAGCCTCCTCCAAATGGAAAAGGTGTGCGGAGACTGACGCGTGTCGTAAGAGAATGGACACAACAAAGGGCAAGACCGAGAGGAAAGTCAAAGAACTCATCCAAGCAGGGGGAAATTCTTAAACAGTGATTAAGAAATGTGATGAGTCTGGGCGTGGTGGCTCACGCCGGAATCCCAGCGCTCTGGGAGGCCGAGGCAGCAGGTCATTGCTTGAGGCCAGGAGTTCGAGGCCAGCCTGAACAAGGGCAAGACCCCATCTCTACTAAAAACAGAAAAAATCAGCCAGGCCTGTAGTCCCAGCTACTCAGGAGGCTGAGGCAGAAGGATTGCTTGAGCCCAGGAGTTTGAGGTTGCTGTGAGCTAGGCTGACGCCACGGCACTCTAGC